CGCCAGTGCAAACACACCCGCCAGTGCAAACACACCCGCCAGTGCAAACACACTCGCCAGTGCAAACACAAATTGGAGTACAGTATTAATAAAAACTGGCCGCAAGTTCTCGAGCACTTTCCAGGAGTATGATATACCTACCAAACCCATATATATGAGTATGTGTTGGTTTGCGATATTATGTTTGCGGGATAATCACCTTGTGTTGTATTATTTTTAACACAATTAAATGTGTATAGGGTAAGTCTGCACGTAAAATAGCTGTAGGTGTGATCACACTCTAATTAGCTGCTACTAGCCCAGCTTTCAAAGCCAAGTCTAATTTACACGGCAGTTCCGCCTTAGGCGCCACAATAGCCCGTATATCTATATCCATATTTGCAAGAATTGGTCACTACTGAAGGACAATTGTTACACTAAAATTCAAAACCGGCCCCCAAGGTCTTGTATCTTCGATTGTTTCCCCAACCCTATTACCAAGAACCACTAAACTACATGTGGATAGCTAGTGGAACAACTATATTCCTGCCAAGTATACTGTATGGTATATACTTGTAACATACCATCCCTAGCTATGGTACATGTACAGACCTTGTATGACAGCTATCTCATCGCTGATAAGAAACCTTATTCTAGTTTTGTACATGGCTCATTTTCATGGTGGATCCCAACCCGTAATGGAAAGTAAACACTACCGCTCAACCGAGTATTTAGAGGATTATGTGGTAAATCCATTTACAGCGAGCTTGCCTACAGCCATATTCAAAACCAGCTTTACCGATTTGTACTCCTCCATTTGCTCAGGGCCGAGTTGCCAAGAAGCTAGCCCAAAAATTGAGTGCATATTAGTGGACTCTGGAATGCAACATGCATCATTGTCCTAGGCGGAAAAGTGCATCCATGTGATAATAAGCTTGACGTGATTGAATCCGTAGAGATAATAACGCAGCAGAAATCATTATTAAGGTACAGCTCGCTAAATTGCTGTAGCTAAACTTGTGGTTTCCTTATACCAATTTGTCATGGGTATCACATGAGATTCTCATCGATAGACTGAAAAGTATTGCCAGAAAAGTTATCTATCCTAAATAGTTTCTTTTGGTTTCTGCATCTTATTCACACTGTTAATTTGCCGGTGTAGATGGCTATCTATCATTTCTTGAACTTGACTCTCACCACTAACGTCCCTGTTGGCATCTTTGTTGGCATTACTAGTATTGGGAACCGGGGGGCATAAAGACGCGAAATACTGTCACGTATAGGGTGGGCTGTGCCAGTTTGGATAGGACCGTCATCAGTCATTTTCTCGGCTGCAGACAGAGCCAAATCACCCGAGTCAAAATACCTCCGTTCCTTTTGCTCGTAAGTAGCTGCTCTGTGTTGATTATCACAAACATACCCTGGACTATTGTCTGAGTAATCCACCATGACGTAGTCTTCCATAGAGGCGGACGCGGTGTTTCTCATCCCCGGAGAGAGTCTAGGAATTCGTCAGCTCAGTGTTCTGTACCTCAATGATGATGAAATAATATCCTACCTGGGAATGATATTCCTTATCCTGTCCTGCTTCCATGATGATGGTATGTAGCGTATACGGTTGTTGTCAATCGTGAGGAATAAAGAATGATACCAATTAGTATTGTACTTATAATTCATTTGTCACCAAAGTGAAATGATGTAGTCAGCCCCAAGGATTAGATCTCAATCGAATCATCATGTTATTATTGCCTTTCCATCCAAGGAACATTGGACTCCTCTGAGTTAAATATGGAAGGTCACGTGTCATGCCTGAAGCTTTTTCGAACAATATGGATAGATTAGTCGCAGTAATCTATCAAAATAGATGTATTGAGAATGTGGCACGTACATTCAGTCGCAATAGCTCCTATGGAGCTAAAGTACCTACTCATCGTTCTTGGATTGTCACTAATGTCAATATTCATAAGATGTGTATGGCTCTCAAATTAACAGTGTATAAGGTTAACCATAGAGTAGCTTTGATTATCGCAAAATTAATCTGTTGAGAAGAAATAACTCAAGAGAAAAGAGAAAAGAGAAAAACAACAGAAAAAAGAATACAGATAAAGGGCGCAGAAGCGTACATACACTGTCACTTTCTTTTATTTTTTTTTTATAGAAAAGTGAAATGTTGGGTCGCAGGTTTGTTATTCCGGCCGAGAACTATTTGAAGACCCAAGGCTCGTTCACCTTCATCCACCGAAGCACAGAATGTCTAACTATTATTGTATATAAAGAGTAAATGTGCCTCTTAACTCATTATCATTTTATGTATTTTATTTCACTTCTTACCAAGTCTACCAGTTTGTGGGATACCAAATATCCTTTCCAGATCACACAAAAAACTAACAGCCCCTTGAGCAAAAATGATCCAAGAAAGCTACCAGAGCTCAGGAAGGTAAAACAGATCCCATCCAAAATTTATGCCAATATTCTGTGGATTCATAGGTTGACTAACATACACGCTTTGCAGTAATGGTGACCGAATCTACGAATTTAGCGCCCATGACAACTGGCAGGGAAGACCAACTACAAACCCTCATAGCCCTGCTAGCACTGCGGAGTATGTGGATTATTACAGAGGATTTCTGAATCAACTACTGGACTTGTTACAAAGTGAGGATCAGCCGGCAATAGATCGGGTAATTAGTCTCATACGATCTGGCGCATCTCAAGAAGAGGTCTTTGCGACGATCCAGAGCATAAACAATTAGTGTGAAAGGAAGTTACTCACCACGATTTTGCATACGGAATCTTATAATTGTACTTGATTTACGCTATGGATAGTTCTTTTCAGTGAAAATGTATCACCTCCCGTGGGTAGGATGAATATATTGCTAGATACAAGTTCTAAAGTACTAAAATCTCATGGCCATGTCTCTCATTGGGAAGCTTTTATATTGATTATCAGGCCTTGATATAGCTAGTGAGCAGATATCTTCCTATGGGTTCCTTCTGTATCTCACTCCTACATCCAAATAATACTATCTTAACGTAAGTAATTAAATTTTTTTTGTCAATACGGCACTAAAAGCAGACATGAAACAGCCAACATCCATCGATGTGTCCAAATCAGATGTGGAAAAGCAGCTCCATAAAAGTACTGCAAGTAGAGCCTCATTTATCCTTTCCACTAGATTCCCCACATATAGGACGTTGGATATCGTGTTGTAGATACCCTTCGATAGCATTTTTGATATCCTCTTTTGTTCCCCCATCTCGGATCAGGCTGACAAGCTGGTTTACATCTGCATCATTACACTCACAGATAACTTGATACAGTTGATGGGAAAATGTGCGGTGATATTGAAGCTCTTGTTCCAATTCCCTGAGATATATCTTCTTACGCTTGTCATGTAGCAGATTAATGACACATTCACGGTTATGAAGGGTACACTGTTCGCATGGCGTATAACCGTTGCACTGGGAAGAGCAGGATGTCAGAACTATTTGCTATCATTGTTCAGCGAACTTATAGATAAAACAAAAACCACCTTTATTCGCCGCCTGCGACACTCGGTACACGCGGCAGACGATCGAATTCGTCTTACACTGAACGGCTCAACGTCCTTCTCTTCGCTTTGCGGTACGTATTCAGGGCGTGGCTTAAGAGGAGGCAAGGCTGGAGCACACTCTTCTCGCGACATACTCTAGGATATTCGATAGAATTCGTTATGAGCGAATAAGCAGAGAGAATTCAGAGGATAATGGGTATATATTCAATCCCAAATAGGAAGGAGTTGCTCCGCAGATCAGCCACCGTGTCTGGTTAGTCTCTTTGAGATGTGGATACAGGAGAAAGTCTGACATCGAGGTGGTTTGAAGCTTACTAAGCGGTTAACCAGTTAACTAAGTTCTGGCTGAGAGATATACTAATACGGACTAGTAAGATATAGGTGGGGATATAGGTGGCGTATTAAGAAACAAAAGCGATTTGTTTTGGCGAAACATGTAATATAGTATTATTATTGTAATGGGTGATTTGAATACCATACAGTATCTCATCCAGGATTCGGAGTATCTCAAAAAGAGGTTAGTCTATTCTTGGCGTAGGGTTGGGAAACAATTAAGAGGATACAAGACCCGGGCGCCGGTTTTGAATTTTAGTGTATCTGGATGACAAAGTGATACTTTGTCATCGGCTCTGTAACTAATTAGAGGCCCAAATATTCCATTGTCCGGCACAATATTGTTTCTTTAAGATTCATACTGGGCGGCCAATTCTTGCCAAGTAACCTGCTTAGGCTTCGGGTAGTGTGTCGCCTACAAGAGATGGGTTATTACCGCTACTGTCTCTCAGGCTTAAGATAATACCTACCAACTGTTCTTCCGGAAAAGGCCAGTCACTGTCTGACTTGAAGAAAACAACCTGGCCATTGTGCTTCAAACGGATCATTAGGCAGATGTCTGCGTCGCATTCCCGACAGTATTCAAAAGCTTTCAGGAACAAATGAACCTTCCGTCGGTTCCGCTGTTGACATTTTGCTTTAGAACTGTCCGATCGCCGGCGCCGGATAGTTCTTTTCTTGATAGCCATGATGGTCAAATTGAGTGAAAAAAGTGAAAAGCAGGCATTTGGGGGGCGGCTACGTCTGGCTTTAATAGCGTGGAGGAGAAAAATCCTTGTATCATTGATTCTTTGAGTTTCTTTAATGTGAACCAAAAGCGCCGATTAAGGGGTAGTAAGGATATTGAACTGTGGTGGCCGCTTAAGGTGCTCACCCTCGGAGGGTGAGTACTTGCTGCTAGCCTGCTGCGTAAGAGCATATCCCGGTTAGCGTAAGGCGGCACTCTAATCCTGGATGGGTCGCTTACCAAACATGGGCCCGGCAAAGTTGCTAGGTTCTGGTCAATGGTTGTTCGCTTTACTTAGCGTTATGGCTGCTTTTTTGGCCTTCCCCGTCGCCCGACCGGGTGATTCTTTGAGCAAACGTGAGACGCTAATTCCACCAATCATTGATCTCTGATTTAACCGCTCTAAAGTGCTTTGTATTTCACTTGCGTGTCATGTGCTTCTCAATAGGCTTTTAGATGACAACCAAGATACACACAAGCCATCAAACGGTGACCAGATCCGTTTGACACAGAATCATTATGGAGAAGAGAATACAGGACATAAATTGAGGACCTAATGGACTATGACAAAAAGATAACCAGGACTTAAGCTCGTACATGCCTGGGCTCTCAAACTGAGCTTTGTCGAACGTAGTATCATGACCAAGAAGGCGAAGAACAGTTTGAGAAAACATTTCATGTTCTAAGATGTTTCTCAAAAAAAGCAAAGAAAAAGAAAAACAACAACATTTTTCCTACAGTGAACGCCGACTTTGAATTGTCCAAATATATCACATTATCCAGCGCTTTATCCCGATATCTTGCGCCATATATTCATTCGGTATTGTTTAGCGTCTCGTCCGCACTTTGGTCACAAACGCAAGCCGGGTTACCCCGTGGAGGCGACGTATATCGCTGGCGGAAAGCAAGTTTGCATTGGCGGAAGTTCTGCAAATGTGGATTCAGAACAAATGTATGCTCTGGTATAAGATTTGTCCCCCATTATATATCAATGACGTCGCGTTGCTGGAACATAGCCACTACATCCACTATCATGTTTTCGATATTTCCTTCGCAGCTGAAATCTAAATCGCTGGGCTTCTGCCACCCCAGCAACATAATATGCTTAACAGCCCATACTTCTAAATAATGCAACTTGAAATTATCGGTAATTGTATCCCGCTGTTACTAAGAAAGTCCCTCGATATTGAACAAAGTGCTTTACCATATCTTAGAGGCCCAAGAAACTAGTAATGGAATATTTCTTGTCTTTGTTCCGCACCTTCTGAACACCCATGAGTCGATATATCGCGATCTGAGCTCCGCGTATACTATAGTCCACAGTCGCAACAGTCTTATCTGGTATATCAACGAATTGACCGACTACTGCGAGATTGGCTGTGCACTCCGGTATCACCTTTGGACGATCCGCACAAGCCCGAGGCAGCAACGGTGCCGCTAAGCGTGGCATCACACGTGGGATAGTAATTGAACGGTCTAAAATGGATTCTGGAGGTATATTAAGATGCAGAAGCAATTCAGTTAGGATCTCCTGCCCAGAGCACCAGAGCATTGGCTTCTTCACGAAGTTTCCTATATGTTGGGGGGCCGAGCCATAGCCCCACATAACCTGCACATCTGTGGATTGATAAGGAACAAGTGGTTGACGGGGAATGAATAAATTAAGTAACCAGTTGCTATTTTGGAGGGCGATTGAAATTGAATCATGGTCAGCACGAGCCAAGTTCATAAAATGGCCGAAGAACTCAACACCTCTTATTGTAATTGTGAAAGTCTCCTGTCTGGATTCACCCACTCGTGTGCAAAAATTGTACGGGTCACCAAGACTTGAGCCGAGGCTTGCACCGAATGCCAGCCAGAGTGACCAATTCTCATCCAATTTGTCTTCCGCCTTCAGTATTTCCAATGAAGGTGGCCTCGTATTAGTACCTTTTGTTGAACCAGAAATTGGTGAACCAAGGGATGCAATAACAACATCAGGAGGACTGATGGTGACGGTATTCTCTAATCCGTTCTGAACTGTTTTAAAAGCTGAAATGGATCGATGACTTCTTTGCAGATCTACCGTTATGTCTTTGACCGTGGTGTTGAACTGAAGATCCACTCCTTTTTCCTGCAGGAAGTGGGTAATAGGCAGGATAATATCATCCTGCAGATGGTATCTGCACCGATCTAGTCCAGGAAATTCCTTTTGACGTTGGAAATCGTGGAAGTAACTTAGGAGACTCCGACGAAATTCGACGGCGCTATGCCAAGGACAAAGGCCGAACCTTTTATGATTCCCATTGTTAGAGTTGGTTCGCCACTTTGGATTAGACGACATACGCTGATGACCAGACAGCCCAGAAACTGCTGTTAAAAAAAATTTTGTCGAAGAAGTCGCAGATAATCTTTCTCCCCAGGCTCTTTTCGGACTTTAATACAAATGTCACCAGGTTCATCCGAACTTTCCAACCAATGCTGATCTTCTGGGGCTCTAAAGCCTCCACCTGATGGCCATTTTGGGTAAAAAGGCGAGTGGGAGGTGCATTACTTCTCGCTTCATTTAAATCATCCAACATTGTCTTCCCGGCATTATTGGACGAAGGCACTAAAGCAAGCAGACTTTCAGTGCATTCATCGCATAAAAGTGGTAAGCATGGAGCTCGATGGTCATACCCACCCACTGAGTCGCCTGAGGTGGGTATCCCATCTTCTGGAGTTATGCGGGACTCTAGAATATGAACATGAGAGGCGGGCATGTCTGCGTCTTGAATTAGATAAACTGCAGATGCCAGAGAGGCGATGCTGCTGCCAAGAATCCAGGCATGTCCATTGTCTTGTACTCTCTGATTTCTCTTCTGATAAGACTGTCGTTTGCAGGCCATAATTATGTTGCCTTTTGATATTTCACAACCCCTTTCCAATGCTTTATAACCTGTCGCCACTACGTCTCAATGTTAGGACAATCGCAGACGTCACTGAATAGTCTACGGCACGGCTAACTGCTTTGGAACTAGCATACCACAGGATTGTCATGATGCCAAGCCCTACCGACCGAGCGGGTTTAACCATTATCTGTCGGCAATATATGTTTACGCAGCCTACGAAGGATGAAGCGTGGGATTTTACTGCCTTTCTATTTCTTGATCAGCTTCTTGAATCATTGGCCTGGAGCTCATCCCTTATAGACTATCCCACTGAAGTGGCACTACTCCACAAGGTGTCAATAGTAATCGGTTTTTTCCAGGTGGAGATAATGGTAGTTACTTAAGGGCACCAAGAATTTCCTTCCATGTACTCATGACTAGTTTCGGCATGGAAAATACGAACGGTTTCTCCAGAACACATCTTGCTTTCAAAGGTTGGGGATTGTCCATAATTATCATGAACCCTGATACGAGAACGGTCCTTTTCTGGAAATACTTCGACCGTCTCATCGGAACAAAAAGCATTAATAAAATAGTTCCTATTATGGGTTATTATCTGGGTGTCGAAGTGGGGTACAGGTAAGAACTTATTAGGAAGATATCTGCACAATAGCTAGCTGTTTCGTATTATTATGAATCGAGGCTTGACCGTGGTTATAAAGGAATGACACTGGCAGGTATTGGCCGTAAATGTTCAGTGCATTAGAACTTGTAACATTTATTGGTTCTACACTTGAGTGATGATGAAATCTTATCGCAAAGAACCATCCATAGCCTAACTCAAGTGCAAATATACAGTTCCCTACGCAGAACCGTGACGAATACCCTCTTTTTCGCACTAACTATTTGCGCTCCGGATCGTCCCAAGGACCTCATCCTGAGATGCGCCAGATCGTATAAGACCAATAATGCGAGCTACCATTACTTGATCTTCATTTCGTATTGAGTCCACCAGTTCATTAAGAAATTCACGGTAAGAATCCGCATTTTCAGCAGTGGCAGCAGGGCTTCGAGGGTCTGCAGTTGGGTCTGCCTGACTGTTGTCGTTGGCATTAATTTTGTTGGATAGGTTACTATTGCTGTGAAGTGGTTTTTCAGCTGAGCTATAAACCCATATATGTATTGGAATAGAGGTTCGGATAGGATCTGTTTACCTTCCTAAGCTCCGGTGGTTCTCTTGGACCATTATTGCTCAAAGAGTCGTGACTTTTTCTGCCACTTGGAAATTTTATTTGGTATCTCGGTCACCGTAAGGTTTGGCAAAAAATATGACACGAAGTACATAGGGGAGCCATCAGTGGGAGACATGTTGTTTTTTGCGAAGACAATAATATTTAATTAAGCCTTCTCGCGTTCGGGCGCAGAGACGAACCTTGAGCACTCTCCAAAATAGTTCTCGGCCGGAACAACAAATTTGCGACCTGAGAATTATTTTCTTTTTAAGAGTTAAAAGTTTGATAGTGTAAATGTGCTGCTGCGCCCTGAGTTTTTCCTCTCTCTTTTTTTTTTTTCTTCCGGCTGATTAATATTGCCACAATCGAAGCTACTCCGAAATTGCCGTTGAGGACCAGTAATCCGAGAGTCATACATATCCAATGAATATGAATGTTGACAAAATGACAAGGTATTTAGGTCTATGGGAACTATTATGACTTAATGTATCACTTTCTCAATACACCTAATTTGATACGATGGGGTGACTAACCCATACTGGCGTTCTAAAATGCTCTGCCGAAATGTGACCTTTCAAATTTAACTCTAAATGGTTTAACGTTCTATGGATGGGAAGGCAAATGATGACATGATGATTTGGCTGGGCTGCTCATCCATGGGCTTAGCACTGGCAAATCTATAATAAGTGGCAATAAAACCAGTTTCTAATATTAATCTACATCATTTTTTGTCCTCCGCGATTAACGAAAATTACCTATATACGTGACACAAATCATAATGGAAGGGGGACAGGATAAAGAACCCCATTCCCTAGTTAGACCATTCCCCGCTATCATTGAGGAATAGCGCATTATGCCAATTTGTTACTAGACTCTCTCCGAGGATGAGAAACGCCACCGCCTTTATGGGACTTTGCCTCATGGAGGAGGACTGCTCAGACAACAGTCTAGGGTATGTTTCTAATAAGGTAACCCAAGGCAGCTACTGACAAGTAAAGGAACGGAGGTACTTTGACTCGGGTGATTTGGCTCTCTCTACAGCTGATAGAGTGACTGATGAAGGTGCCATTCAAACTGGCACAGCCCATCCTATACGTGACAGCATTTCCCGCCCTTATGCCCCGGTTCCCAACACCAGTAATGCCAACAAAGATGCAAACAAAGGCTTTAGTGGCAAGAAACCCCAAATTTCGGAAATGACAGATAGTCCACTGTACGAACCAATCAACAATGCGAATAGGAAGATACAGAAACCAGAATGAACAGTTTGGGATGGATGCTTTTCTAACGTTTGTTTCAGTTTAATTTCAATTCAGAAGAACCTTACGTGCTCACCATGTCCGCTTTGGCTGAAAGAGGTCCCAAGCTTAGTTACAGCAATTTAGTGCGGTATACTGCTATTGTGGTTTCTGCTAGGTCATTACTTTTACACAGATTTAGTTATGCCGAGCTCACAACCAGATGGAAATACTTTCTCGCTGGTACAGTGATACAAAGACGTTCAATATAAAAAATCGATGCCACCCACCAGCAGGTCATCTTCAGGGTTTCCACCATGTGTAACTACTTCAGCAGCAGTACTAATTCCACACTATGATCTCCATGCTATCTACCAAAAGGCTGATACAGGGGAGAATGCGCCCGCCTCTTCGCGCTTGCACCGTTCATGATCAAACTTCTCGGGGACCAGTTTCGGGAAATCCACGTTTTGAATTATAGCCTGCAGTAGCTGCTTCCTGGGGTAAAGGACAAATGACGTTAAGCACTATCGCTCCTTCTCTTGGGACTATCAAGTCTGGTGCCATAGCTCTTGCTAGCTGAACTCTCGTATATAGACTCATAGCACTGCCGTACTCATTGACTGGTGTTGGGGTGCGGTGCATAGGGCGTCATTATTAAGTCTTTGCTTATGTCATCACAAGCTGTTCAATTCCTTAAATATGTTCTTTGGTATTTTTCAGTTAATGTGAATCAGTAAGAAAGCCTAGGATTCATACCAATTTGCCAATGTGGCTGCATTGTCGGAGATGGAAGGAATATGGCCAACTTTTAGGAAATATTGAAAGGCTACTTTATATGGGGAAACGGAATGCCGAGAGGAACATACATGGTCTATTTAAATTTTCCTTCTTAATAAAAAAAAAAAGGGAATGGGATCAATATGACGTCAGCAATTCTGACAGCAGATAAGAGGCGGACGACAAAACGACAGAATATCTCAAAGGATATAAGCACGACGGATGTATTATTCTCCGTTCCCATTCGCAATCTGTACCTTTTATTGTCATGCTTCTTCTTTCTTCTTGGGCGCATGCGACCCAGATCCACTTCCTAACCCCACAATTGGGACATTTGATCATGCCCCAATCTTCTTTGCACAAACGTGAGATATTTTTCCCAAAGGGGAAGAGGATATCAGCGTATAAAGAAATTCGGATATTTCAACCTTGTGCTGGTGCCAAGAATGACAAAGAAGAAACCTGGAAGGATTTGTAAGATAAATATTACCCATACCTATAACGCTACAGTTTGCTTTCTTTGTCCCACCCTGGCCCTAGTCTTTGTTTGCTGGATGCATAATTAACGTCTGTATTTTGGAAATGGCAAACCTGTGTAACACAACAGAGTAGGAACAGAAAGAGTCTCTCTTATAAAGAGAATGTGAAGCTGGTCTCGTGAATTATATTTATTTATTTTCATCTCCGTCCTGAGTTATATTTTTCCCCACCTACACACGACTAGCAGCAGATCAGTGCGAACGTTTTCAATGACTAGTCCTGCAGCTCCACTCAGAACACTTCTGCCTGCAGTATGTCGCAGCCCTCATAAGCCTCTTACCCCCGTTCACCATGTCGAACGAAGGTCAAAGCGGCGGAGTTTAGCTTGCTCATCGTGTCAACGAAAGAAAGTAAAGGTATGTATTATCTCATAATATATGCGTCTAAGCATTACTCATATTCTAAAGTGCAGTGGCCCTCCTCCCTGTGAAGCATGCGCTGCAACGAATAGCGAGTGTTTTTTCGAGCCTTTAACAGACAAACGGCGAAGATTGACACGAAAGGCTGTAGAGAAAGACATGGAAAGCTATCGACTTGTATCTATGTTCTTAATCAGTATCCTGCGTTCTGGGAAGGAAGATGATGTGAACAAACTAGTAAAGGAGATTCAGAAAGCCTCATCCCTTGATTCTGCTCTTGCAGATCTGCAGTCATTAATTTCTCGGGAGAAGAGCTGATTCCTCTTGCTCTGTTGAAAATCAAACTGTGTTTAGGTTCACCTTTTTACTCTAATAGCATCTCGAATAGGAGTCGTGTTCTGTTTGATTTGCCACTGAGTTACATCATATTTACCTGCTTATTGTTGGCTACACATGACTAAGGAGAGCGGTAAAGACAACAAATCTTAGTTTCTTAACCTAGGGATATGCTGTTGAATCGCTGTAATATGGTCGGGTCGATCGCATATGTCGGACAGCTCAGTATTAATCGGTTGTTCATGAAACTCCAACTTCTAAATGGGGATATGGATAGGTATGATAGTAACACGCAGGGGAGGGTTTCTAACTGTAAATAATTCTACAGTATATGGTGCTATCAGTATAGACGCTTGATCCTCTGAAAATCCTCCTTGATTACCTTGCGAAAAGTAAAAGATTCCCTACTGGGACACGTTAGTAGGTGACTAAGCTATGCGACTGAATATAAGCAGACTGTCCGCGGATAAAGTGAAAGGCCAGCCATTCCTAAATTCGAATTCTAGTTGATGCTAAGAGATATTCCATTTTCATACAAAATTACTGAGAGCCGGGTTGTCTAACCGGGAGGCTAACTTGTGGATATTTTATCGCATATGGCCGGCAGTCCTACTTCGACGGCAGTCTTACCTCGACGGCAGTACTACTTCGACGGCAGTCTTACCTCGACGGCAGTCCTACTTCGACGGCAGTC